GTAAGAAAATGCATTATTGAATATATCATCATCCATGTGTAAATGTAATTTGATAAGTTTGTATAAACATACAGTGGTGTTTACATATCTTTATAAGTGTTGAGCACCCACTGTCTGCTCTAAAACATTGTTCCACATTAATTAGTATATAATGCAAATATAGGAAAATAATTTGTGATTTAGGACTATTATAGTGAGTTTGAGGCAATTAGATACAAATAAAATATGTAACGAATATCAGTGTGCTACTTTGAGAGCTTATGTTAAAACAACACTGTACCAATAAATGACAGTAGTAACCACAGTAAAACCTTTTCATCTGCAGGACTAAAATTTCAAAACAAAGTGCATATTTACAGACTTAATTGTTAATTTAAAATTTATTTGCACAACTTAAGCTAAGGTCTGTTTTGTTTCTATTGCTATTCAAAGACTATAAATCTCGTTGAACTATTTTATTGTATATTGGCAGATATATATCTATAATGTTTTAGTTAATCTTCTGGCCATAGTGACAAATAGACCGATATTTTCTGTGTTAAAAATGAGTCTTGTGATTGTACCATTATTCAATCACCTCTTTATTCTTTCACTGTAATTTACTGTAGCACAACAATCTCTAAGAAATAGAAAAGAAAATATTAAAATTATGTAAAATAAATTCTCAAAACATGAATTTTTCTTTTTTCCTTTTTCAAACAGCATTTACCTCTGTGTGTTCCATACAACTCTGCGGAAAATGCTAGTATAACCTTATTTCAGAGTAGGACAATAATTGAAACAATTGTGACAGCATACATTATATAGTTGTTTTGATCAATTTTTTAAGATTTACTTTTTTATTTATTTATGCATACAAGAACTGGGGTGTAGGCCAGAGGTGTAGGGGATGAGAGGATTCAACAGAGACAGCGTGGGGAGCAGAACAGGCAGATCTACTGAACTACACTGCTGAGGAGAGCAGCGGAAGAAACAGGAGAGGTTTGTTGTGCCATGTGAATTAGCTCCCTGGCCAGGTATCAAACTCATGAGTCAGTGGCTGGTGATAGCTTGATAGTGCTGAGACTTTAACCCCTGTGCCACCAGAGAGGCCCTGGTCCAAGAATGCTCTTATGCTCAATCTTTTCCATTAGGGTTGTTAGGTAAATTTGTTGGAAAATGTATTAAGAAATATCAGTCTCTGAGAGAAAAAGAGAGTAAGCTATAGAAACAAATCACCCATCCTATTTCAGTGGACATGGATACAACTCAGAAACTTTTTTTTTAACTAATGACTGTAACTAAAGTACATTTCTTTAAATGAAACTAATTAATAAAAATTCTATTATCCAAAATTAAAGATAGAAATTACTATCTTTCATTTACTTTTCACTAAGTAATATTTTCTAAAGGGAGTTCAAGAAAAAAATGTGTTTCTTTCCCCAACATCTAGGTTGCAAATGTAATTTTTTGAGAGTAAATGTTTGCAGGATCTTCTCTAACGTCTAAACATTTTGACATGATTTGATACCTAAGGCTACTATGCTCGCGGAGCTTACTCAGCAGCATACACTCTATCTCAAAATAGAGAAGCTGACCATAAATGACTAATTATATGAAAATATATTCAATAGAGCTCAAACGATAATTTTGTATTCTATAACTTTTGGATTCCATGCAAAATGTACACATTCCTCCTGTCACATTTCAACTTGTTATGACCATAGTAACTTACAATTGCAAAACCCTTCTTTAATACCTACTGGTGAAAAATGTTTTTTGGGGCCTCCCTGGTGGTGCAAGGGTTTGAGCAGCGCACTATGAAGCAATCTGCAGCCTCTGCAGCATGAGTTCAATCCCCGGTTGGCCAGGGAGCTACCCACATTGTGCAGCAGACTTCTCCTGGCTCGCCCGCTGCTCCCCTCAGCCGTGTACTTCGGTCAATCTGCCTGTTCTGTTCCCCACTCTGTCTCCGGTGAATCCTCTCACCCCCTGCATCTCTGGCCTGTACCGCAGCTCTTGTCTGCATAAATAAATAAATCTTTAAAAAAAATGTTTTTTGATTCCCTGACTTACATTAGTGCCAACAAGGAAAACTCTTCCCAATGTCTTCTCTTTTTCAATGATAATTTCTTCTTTTAATTGTAGTAACATTAGGATTCTCCCCATCAGGTATCACCAATGCCTTTTCCTTTCTTCCCACAAACTTCTCCCTTTTCAAAGTAGTTTCTATATTATTAGGTCTGTTATAGCTTCAGTCGTGTCCTTCTTTTCATCACTCAAAACTAGTCTCATGAACTTCATTCACACTGGGATTGCTGAAATGGTATATAAGATACAGAAGATTGCTAATTATCCATTTGAATTTTCATAATTTTAAGATTTACATTTATTTAATTATATATACAAGAACTGAGGAGTAGGGCAGAGGTGTGGGGGATGTAAGGATTCACCAGAGACAGAGTGGGGAGAAGAACAGGCAGATTGACTGAAATACACTGCTGAGGGGAGCAGTGGGCAAGACAGGAGAGGTCTGCTGCACCATGCGGTTGAGCAACTTTGCGGAGGATCAAACTTGTGCTGTATGACTGGTGATAGTTTGATATGCTTGATTGCGCTGAGATTTAACTCCTGTGCCACCAGGGAGGCCCCTGAATTTCATAATTTTCAAGCCCTGAGAAAAGATGGATTGTTTGACTAATATACCATCTGCTTCCCCCAATAAAAGTCATTTGTGTTACATGTGTTTGACCAGGAAAAGCCACGCAGGTGACAAATGACGATGCTCGCTGACTGTAGGTCACATGCAAGCTCTGAGAACTTCTTTCCACTTGCAGTAGGTGTGTGGCTTCGGAGTAGAATCTATTTTGAGCATTGCTTAGAGAGGTTGGTCTGCTCTTGAAGCTCCTTCAGGAGTTGGCAGACAGCACAGGGTCAATCAAGAAGGATGCTGGCTTCATGCCTGAATCTTCTGTTATGTTTAGTTCAATTAGATTCAAATATACAAAACATGCCGGTGAGAAGAGAAGGTCATCGTTCGGAAATTATATTAACCATAATGTAGAGGTGATTTTTACTGTGTCTAACCTACTGTACTACAAATACAAGAATTCAAGAGAGCGATGTTAGGCTTCCCTGCCTCCAGATAAGGGACAGATTAGAATGGAGTCAAAAATGTATGTGAAATAGTGAGACATCATGTGTATGTGCTCAGTACATTGCCTTCATCTTTTGTTTCATAGAGTGTTTTTTTTTTCTGAATTATACACGGATATTGTCAATATTACGTTATGCAAATGATTTGAACACTAACTTTTCACAAGTAAAACAAACATTTTGGGCATGTCATTCAAAATATCAAATCATTAGCATTTTTTTTAGTCCTTCAAACTCATGTGCTGTTGGGTTGCTCTGTCATTCCTCTATTTTCATAGCACTCTTATCTGTTATTTATATCTGTTATCATTTATTCTAATATAGGATGTGAAAGTTAAGATCCTAATGGCAAATTAATATTTAATAATAGTTGATCTCAATCTCTTTCTGATTTTTATTTTTACCAATTATGATGTGACTTCATCTTATACTGGGTATTTTGATTATTGTATATGCATACGTTAGTTTTTCCACCATGGTGTGTAAATTTCAAGTTTTAGTCAAGAGAATAGAGCAAGTCATATAAAATATATGTAAGATCATGATTCAAAATTTAGACTTGTATAAATAATACCATTATTCCTAGAATATTGTTAAATATCAATTTATACTTACCAACACATTAAATGTATCTCCCCTTTACATGTACTACCTATGGAAGTCTTTTATCAAGTTTTTGACTGACTTTGCTGATTTTCATGATTATTTATATGGTAAAAAAAAACAAGAAAACCTTTTGACTGCAAAATTAGAGAAAACTATTTTGTTTTCAGTTATATTTCTGATTTCTGATGTTGATTATGAATATATGTGTTTTATGATATGAGTTCTGCTTTCTTTAGAAAAGTCATTGATAGATTAAAAAAATAGAGAAACACACAGTCATATATGTGTGATTTAGATCTAAGGTGGTATAGATATAACTTCCTCTATATAAGTAAAATTTTCTTCTATAATTGCTTTATGTTTAAATTTACTTTAAAATAAGCATTATTTAAAGTGATTAAATATCCTAAAATAACCATTTTTTACACAAATGACTTTGAAAACTTATAAATTAATTTTAAGTGAGAAATTGGTAAATTCTATGTTTATTTTCATTTAAAAATTTACATATCAGAAAACAAAAAAATAAATATCAGCTTTAAAACATAATAATTGTACATTTTCTTCTGTACAAACTAATTCAAATGGATAATATACATTTGATAGTAAATGTCACTGTTGGAGGCTATCCATTTGCAATTCTTTCAATTGATTAAATATTACAACTTGGGTTGCATGTCAAAGTACTTACCATGATTTTTGGACAGAAGAGTGCCAACCAATTTTGTTCCAACTAAACTTCTATAAAATATGAGTCACATTTCTGTGTGTTGTCTTGAAATTTATAGCCCTTATCTAGTTTTCCTTGTCCCAGTTTATATCATTCACTATCAAAAATATAGCCATGACACTGATAAAATGTGGCTGTTCATGTTGTTCAAAAAATACTGTACCTTAGGAGAGTCTCTCTATAAAACACCATTCTGACTCTGAAGAAATGGCATTTGATGTTTGATCACTCACATTAATATTGTTTTATTTTTATATCAACCAGTAAAACGGTAGTAACGTTGACTTACTGATGACATTTTTATTAGCAAACTGTGGACTTGAGATGATGCGTCTAGTTTACTGGACATGGTAGCAAACTAACAAGTTAAGAGTTTGAAAGGTTCAGCACCTTGCACATAAGCAAAATTTTCTTTAAACCACAGTGATGATGTCCCTAAATGTCATCTAAAATAGGAACATCAGAATGAGCTAGATATTTCTTACAGAAGGACCTCTATAAATAAATATTGATTTAAAATTGTAATTAGTAGGAGTCCAAGAAAGAGGGTGAATAACAAAGAGAGATACAGATGAGGAAGTGAAAAACGAAGAGGACACACTCAGGCTTGCTTCTCACCTATAAAGGTAAAGTGTTTATGTTTTTAATAATATAGAAGATTCATGTAGGAATTAAAATAACAATTTTCAGTACAATCGACGAATACATAAACAACTATTGGACACTAAGAATAATCTTCTATTAAATATCTGTAATGTTATCCTCTAACCTTACTATGGTGTCACTGATGTGCTCCCAAAGGTCACTGCTAGATGCACTGGGTCTATGTTCCATAGACAGTTATTGATGGGAAATAAGAATGCACTTTAATTTCTTATTTTGCCACTATTGTCAGGAAATGACATAGATCTATGAATTTATACTCAAAGTTGCTTTCAGGGTTATATAGGACAGGTTTCCAAATAGCCTTTTTGTAAATATAAGTGTAGTAGACTATGCTCAGGAAAATGATTAAAATTCACAGATGTTTTCTAGAGCTTTGAAATTTTAAAAAAAAATGGCATGTTTATTAAGACCAAATATCAACTAAAATATGGAAAATAGAGCACTGATTTCCCCTTTAGTTATTTAATATAAGTTTAAGTGTGAAGTACAGTGAGATATGCATTTGTTTTTGGTTCTTGAGAATGTATATGTAAAAGACAAATACTTATATATTACATTTAAGGGATTTTTACAAAACAATACCTTTATTAACATTTTAGGGAATCTCTAAAATAGCTTCTGAAATAGCTCTATTCCTGTTTCTGTTCTTTATCAAGAAATTTGACTTTTTTTTTCAAATGTAATGTGAATTCTTACCTTCTTTATTTCCTTCATTTTAGTGCTTATTTTAGATTGATATATAGATGATATATTAAAAATGGTGTATGATTTTATTATTGTAGTTCAAGTAATTTTTTGTTTACTTTCATAATATAGTAATGCTTTACAATTTTTGCCTTTTTTCTGTTCTGTTTATATAAGTGCCACTTTCAATATTCCATAAAGAGTATAATTTATAATAAAAACCAACATGCTTTGTGCTTATACCTCTACAGGGAGAAAGGGATAAGTCTACTTCATACTGTAATAGTTTTCAATGGCAGGGTTACCTCATGAAATATGATTTTCATATATATCTCTTGGTACCAACTAAATAAAGAGTTATTTTAGCACCAGCATTTTTCTTACATACTACTTTAATGATAGTGTATATCATATTCATTTAATTTCATTACTGGTATTAAGCATAAAATCCCCTAATGAACAGTTTATTAAATACCCATTAAATTAAAAAGAAAGAAATAATAATTAAAAAAATATTATTCTCTAAATTGTCTAAAATCTGTGTTTAATAATATCAGGAATAATTTGAAACAATATTCTACTCAAAATTCCTGCTCTAATTTATAAGCTCTATGGACTATTTTTGTTTTTATTAATTTTCAGATAATTCTGTTACCAAATGTCAAGATGGAATGTAGAGGGTCTGAACACTAACTCTCATGGTTAGTGTTCTGTTCTTATACAACTTCCTGTGTCAAGGTCATTATATTGACGATATAGCCTTGTTTCCTGCTCTGGTGCCCAGTGCATTTTAAATCACAACAATGTGAGACTGTTAGATGCAAACAGTGAAAGAACATTCTGACCCTACCATTTCAGTGTAGTTTACTGCCCTGTTACTATAATATATTTTCATAAATCTAATAAAAATGTTAAGGTAGCATTCCCCCCGTTCTTACAACATGGTACAGAAAGTAAAGGATATAATGTTTTGTGATGCTTGGGGCAACAACTGAGAAAATGAATGTAAATTGCCTGTGCACTTTATCCAAGTTGTGTTAGCAAGGTGATTAAATAGAAGAATGAGTGTGCATATGTGCTTCACTTCAGTGAAATGGGGTATACCATAATAAATATGATTTTGGATAAATTTGAATCACTTTATTAAACAGAATAAAATCCTTCACAATAGCATCAAATGCACTAAAAGAGAAAGGATTTGCATAGTTGCCAGGAGGGATAATAATTGCTGCTTTGGATTTGATTGTGGAAACTTCTTATAAATATTAGTGGTCTTGGGTTAAAGATTGACTTAGTTGAAAAATTATAGTCCCTGTAATTATGAATGGACAACCTAAAATATTCTCTTTTTATATGATTTTTAAAAGAGAATTATAGTGAAACAAATGGTGTTCCTTTGATTAATTAATCATCTTTTAATTATAGTTTTATACAGTATAATTTTAATTACAAGAATAAGAATTTTGGGGGGGGGCCTCTCTGGTGGCGCAGCGGTTGAGCACCGGGTTGGGAAGCTGCCCGCAGCCTCTGCAGCGCCGGTTCCATCCCCGGCTGCTCCCCGGCCACCGGAGGAGGGTCCCACATGGCGTGCAGACCTCTCCTGCCGCCCGCTGCTCCCCTCCGCAGTGTACTTGGGTCCTTCTGCCTGCTCTGCTCCCCGCTCTGGCTCTGGTGAATTCTCTCACCCTCCCGCGCTTCTGACTGTACCCAGTGCTTGTATAAATAAATAAATAAATAAATCTTTAAAAAAAAAAAAAAAAAGATTAAAAAAAAGAATAAGAATTTTTTAGGATATGATCAATTTGGCATGTAGAGGTGGCCACCACTCTTCATCTTTTATATCTGATTAAGGGATTCGTGCTTTTCTAGGGTACATTTAGGCTAATTAAAATCATGCTTGTGTTTTCATTAATGTGAGCAGGACAGTAATTCCTCAATCTCATGATAAAATGTACACTACACAATCACAAGTTGAGTTACTTTTTGATTGTCAGAGGTCAGGAAAGTAAATGTTTCATGGTCTTTATGCAAAATGAGTAACATATTTGTTTAGTTCTTTAGTTTTAATGTAAAAGAAAGGAAGAATATTTATATGCATGGAGATAATCTGTTTTCCTTTGGAAATGTACTTTATTCACCATTAAGGGTCAAATTAAGTAAACTTAACATTCTGCAGAGTTCAAATTTATTATTTATCAGGAAAACAGTAATGTCTCTTTCTCCACCATGGACTAAACTTTGCACATATCATATATTACTTCAGAGTTGCACTTGGGCAATTTCCTTCCCAAATTCTTTCACATTTGCATCTATTTTTTGTAAAAATATCACAACTGGTTACTAGAACTATACTATTAATAGTAACAGTACATAGTAGTTCCATTTATAAAGAGTTAAGTATTACTGAGTTTCCTAAGTATTTTACTGAAATTAACTCACTTTTTCTTTAGAAAGATCCTACTTTAGATAGTATCATTGTTCCCATTTTATAAATTTAAAAACTGAAAATGTGAAATCATAAATCTTTTGCCACTCCTTTGCATTTATTAAATAACAAATCTGAAACCTAAAAAAAACTCTAGTGTTCTTTACACCGATACCATCTACATGAAGTGACTGGTGTGAAATTTTTATGAACTGGAATGCCATCCTGATCCAAGACAGTCCAGAAGGGTTCTTATTACTTATTGAAAAAAATAATAACCAAAACTGGTAAGTCCCAACCCAGGAATGGCTATAGCTAAATGAATATACAGTACCAATTTCTTTTTTTTTAGACTTTATTAATTTATACATATAAGAACTGGGGTACAGGAGGGGTGAAAGGATTCACCAGAGACAGAATGGGGAGCAGAACAGGTGAACCTACTGAAATACACTGCTGAGGGGAGCAGCAGGTGAGACAGGAGAGGTCTGCTGTGCCATGTGGGTTAATTCCCTGCCTGGGGATCAAACTCAGGCTGGAAGAATAATAATGCTGAGACTTAACCCCTGTCACACCAGGGAGGCATCAGTCCCTATTTCAAATACAACCTAATGAAGCCATCATGGCACCCTAAATGGAAGAATAAATTCAGACAACAAGGAGCTAGAAAATCATAATCTTCCGACAGTTTTTGTTTTAATACCTTTGATGTTTCTCAATGTTTTGAAGACGTGAAAGAGCATATATCCCAAATAAATATATAAAATGTCTGTGATGTTTCAAATGTCTGAAATGTCCTATGTTTTCTCATGCAAAGGATGTAAATTATAACTAGTTGACTGTTCAACTATAGCTGTTTTTCAAAGTTCTTACTATAATTATCAACTTAAGCATCCTGCAGAAATACTGGATCACCAAAAGTTATTTCTGAAATGTACAAAATTAAGTCACTGTCAATATGTTATTAAAAATAAATTATGTGGGAACAAATTCACCTACATAAGTTGATTCATTTGATTCATTAGTTCTGCTAACCAGATGACTTCCTCCTCATTCCACCCCCGAGTTAGGTACACTTGTCTAGTCCATTAGAATGGAATATTTATTATATTGAAAATTAGTAAAAATTAGCAAAGTCCAGCTAATTTCTGGCCAACTCTGCTTCAGATTCATTTGTTCTTCTGTAATACAGAAAGGGTGATCGGGTGACTTTTCCATTTTAAGCCAATTTCCCTACTCCTGATTAATCTATATATGCTAAATTTCTACAATATGTCACACATCAAAAATACAAGAGAATAAGAATACATATGCTTGTTGAGACACCACCTATGAATGTTATCTCAACAACTAGAAGTACCCGGTCTTACCTTTTTTTTCCACATATGCTTTATTGAGTCAATGAGTCAAAGAGTGTGTGGTTGGGTCGGGGGTTGGGGGGGTGCCAGTGGGAGACCAGTCTGAGAAAGTCATTAAAGGTCAGGCTTTAATGTCCTCTGTGTGGTCTCCTTCATTCATATATGTAAGTAACTGCTGAACTGAACGCATATTATTGTGTGGTGGATTCTGTGTTAAGCACATGTGATATAACAAGGTATAAATATGCTTTCTGGAGCAAGAACAATACATTGCAATGAACATTATTTGTGTTTTTTTTTTTTTTTTTCTGTGCTATGTAACACATTCCAACAAGTTTTATGGCATAAACAAACACCCTTTTATTATCTCATATAATAACTGTATATCGATGCCTAGGCAGGCTTCACTGGGCTGTTTATTAAGGCATCACAAAGCAGAAGTTAACATTTCAGTGAGGCTGGCCTCCTATCTAGCAGATCTGGCTAGAATGAG